CCCCCCCACCACCACCACCACCTGTCGCAATAGACCGAGGGGTCCCGTAAATACTTTTTCGACATTGTTGTTCGTGCATACTGATAGAAATGGAGCCCTACAAAGACGTTAAATCCCCGGGCAGCCGCCAACAGCTAGAAAGAAGAAGGAGAGGGGACAACTACAAAAATGCGTACTTCTGAGTTTGATCACTGATAAGTGGTACACCGGCACCAAACCAAATAGGAGTCGTCACCAACGTTTTCGTTTGGCCTTGCAACCGCCATCTTGCTAATACAGCGCTAAAAAAGAAAACTTGACACCAACCGAAGCGAGCAAAAACCTAAGCTAATACATTAGACAAAATAGCTGAACGCTTCTGAAATGATCGAACAGGTTGTAAAGGACAGTTAAAGCTGTACATGCGTTGTAAATGCCATGCTACAGCACAGTCTTCCAGTGCACCCAACTAAACTTAGCTTTCTCGTTGATGTGACTCAACAATCTATTTTTAGTCATTGAAGGCCAAGAAGATTCGGCCAGTCATACGAGCAAGCCAAGAGAATTGACTCACAATCGCGCCAAAATCAGTATTGATATCGAGTAATAAAGATACAGAAACAAAAAGTGTAAAACCAAGCAATAAACACTTTCAAAAACAAATATACGACTCACATACACTAACATTCGCAACTAAAAAAAATCCTACGTTGTACCACCTCGACATGTTGTACTAATTGTTTAGTCGGAACTCCTCTTGATGGACTGTCCCACGGTCATGTCAGCCTGACACTATCATTCTTCACAAAGATATTGTACTACACCATCATCTTGTTTCCTCCTTTTATCGTCACCAATGAGCTGCACGCCTGAAGGGAAAGAGCCGATCATTGTACCGGGATAAGCGAATCCATCGATAACCTGAAGACTCCTTCATACTTCCATTCTTCGGTTGTTGAGGCCACAAGTCCAGGAACGCGAGTGACCAGCAAGAAGGTCTCATCGAGTTCAATATCGAGAGCAACAGCTACTTCTGTCGAGCGGTCTTCTGAGTTGCCGCTAACGCATAACTCTCGTCGAGTTGTTCTTTATGTTTTATTGCATAGGGCACTCATCAGATGGTAATAAAGCAAGTGGAACCGCGACTTAAAGGGCTGTAGAAAATTGTTATTGGAATTTCATACTTGTTGCGTCGCCGAATATGACGTAAAGCAAATACTCAGGAAAAAAACGATATTATGTTGTAATACACCTGGCAGGGCAACCGAAGTTGAGTACCCGTAGCGAGTTCAGGTCGCTGCGCATAGGACTGTCTTGTCGTTTCTGACAATTTCCAGTATCACTGAATTTTGATAGTATAGTATCCTGGATATTATCCAGAATCTACACAAGAGCTACGCTTGGGGGGGGGGGG